CCCGGAGAAGAGCCCGTGGGTGCGGAAGAGCGCACAAGGCTACCTCCTACTAGGGCAAGCGTTGGGGAGCAGACAAATCCGTCACATCAAGCCTTTCCAGCGTGAACCAGGGAAGGGACCAAAGGCATGGGCTGCCCTCAAGGGTGTACACGCTCCTGCAATAGCGGTGGTGTTGGAATGGCAAATGGCGACACTACGAATTGAAGAGGATGAAGCGGTTGAAGAAGGGGTGCAGAAATACTTCAACTTATTGACGCGGCTTGAGGGAGCTGATTTGAACTACAGTGAGCTCCAGAAGAGGACCAAGTTGCTGGCCTTACTCCCAGAGTCATGGTCCTCACTCATCATCAACTTGAACCGTGATCTGCCCCGCCTCTCGCGCGAAGATGTGAAGCGAGCAATCCTTCAAGAGGATTTCTGCCGCCGTGAGTTGGCGAGTGCGGATGGCGCCGGGGCAGCAAGCATTGGCCGGGGGTATGGCCGTGGAAGAGGTAGAGGACGAGGGGATGGCATGTTATAGTCACAATAGGCTCCAATGTGCCTAAAACGAAAGATAGAGTGCACAGTCAGATTTCTGCTCAGCGTCTTTAAACGTTCATAGCGTTCTGGTCACAACTTCAAATGACCTGATTGAACTTGGATCTGGAGCGTCTTAATGTCGCCTACAGTAGGCAATTTAGATCGCACGATTTGACCAAGTATTGACGACACAGCGTCGGTTTGAACGAACGGCACTATGGCAGCCACTATAGTCTTAGAACACAAGATAGGAAGAGTTAGGAAGAGTTACGAGTTGGGAATGACTCCCAGCTCCTACAAACCCCAAGAGCCGAGGTACAGTGATGTGGAACAGTGCCACACTGTCCCCAACCAAGAAGGGTCTCGAACCTACCCTTCACAAGGGTCTACACCAATAGAAATGTTACACTACACATTGTAATGTAACTATCTTCAATATCTTGAAGTGTACCCTTTTGGCGAGCTTCGAAATCACTTGAAGCTTGAAACCAAGGCTCGGGTTCTTCATCACAAACTCATTTTTGAGTTCTTGATGTCAGAATGTTATTCTCTAGCCTGTAGTGGGGTACTCTATAGCGAGTACAACCCATCTAGGGTTTGCTATATGTATCCTCATTGCTGCTAGTGAAAACCCTCCTGTTTTGCCTAAACTTCTCTTGCCTAGCTAGGACTTACCTAGCTATGGCTCCTAACTCTACACACTATCTTCACATGGAATGAGAGCACATACGCTCCTGGCCTGTGGGCCCTCCTACTGCTTCCGCTGCCCTACGCTGTGTCGCGCGCCCCGTGGTGCGCGGCCTCTTATTTTTCATCCCGCCGCGCGCTCGGGGCGCGTGGCGGTTTTCTGCCCGCCGTGCGCCCCGAGGCGCGCGGCGGTTTACTGCTGTGGGGGAGCCAGCGCGCGCCCCGCCCGTCCGTCGCGGAGCCCTGGGGAGCACGCGCGGCCCCCCACCCTGCCCGTCGCGGCGCGCTGGGGAGCCCGCAAGCCCCCCGTCCGTCCGTCGCGACGCCCTCGGGAGCCCGCGAGCGCCCCGCCCGTCGGTCGCGACGCACTGGGGAGCCAGCGGGCGCCCTGCGTGGTCGTCGCGACGCCCTGGGGAGGCCGCGCGCGCCCCGTCAGCTCGTCGCGGCGCCCTCGGGAGGCAGCGCGCGCCCCGCCAGGCCGTCGCGGCGCCCTGGGGAGCCGCGCGCGCGTCCCCCCCGCCCGTCCGTCGCGGCGCCCAGGGGAGCAGCGCGCGCCACGCCCCTTCCCTCGCCCCACCCGTCCGTTTTGGCGCCCTAGAGGCGCGCGCCTTCCCCCCCCTCTCCGTCCCCCGCGCTCCTGCCCCTATCCCACCCGTTTTAGGGTTTGGGGGTGAGGAGTGTGGGGGTGGTGGTTGTGGGGGTGTCCGTTGTGCGCGCCGTGCCCTTCTCCTCCTCCTTTGTCTCCCACTGCTGCAGCTGTCGCTAAGGGGGGTGGATGAGTGGGAGACTGGGGTTTAGGGTTTTAGGGGGGGTGCGTGGGAGTGGAGCTAGGGTTTGAGCAGTGGGTGTGTGTCGAGGGTGTGGGGCAGTTGGAGGAGGTTGTGTGGAGGTACCTGTCGTGTCGCTTGCAGCGCCTGTAGTCCGTCGCCCTTGCTTCGGTAGCCAGTGAGCCTGCTGCACCAGTCGCCAGTGGGTCCGTTGCTCCTGCCGCTCTTCTATAGCCGCCGAGCCAGTTACTCCAGTAGTCCGTCGCCCTTGCTTCGGTAGCCTCTGAGTCAGCCGCTCCTGTGCCCGTGCCTCTGCAGCTTCAGTCTTTGCCTCCCATCTTCTCTACCTCCACAGCTCCTCCTCCTCCTCACTTGCCCGCTGTGATTAGCTCTAGCTTTGCTTACCTTTGTGAACTCCTGCTCTATACCTGCTTGCTCATTGTACTGATTACACCCCACTTTGGCTATGTGGGTGTGTCAGAATGTTATTCTCTAGCCTGTAGTGGGGTGCTCTATAGCGAGTACAACCCATCTAGGGTTTGCTATATGTATCCTCATTGCTGCTAGTGAAAACCCTCCTCTTTTGCCTAAACTTCTCTTGCCTAGCTAGGACTTACCTAGCTGTGGCTCCTAACTCTACACACTATCTTCACACTTGATGGGTCTGCTGCACACACACCTGCGACACGCCGAACGTTCGACAAGCAACAAGATAGAAACCGCGCACGACAAAATAGAAACCGCGCGGGACACACAAAATGACCACGTTACACGCGACTAGCGATAATTCGCTATTGACTCGACACACACACACTCGACATCATGACCCATCATACACACACTATTATAAGCATGAAATATATATTTATTTCATGCACTCATTCCATTCCATGCACACACGCATGCACGCACACGGACAACAAGCCGAGTGCAAACCGTAGGGTTGCACCAACAAACTCCCCCTCGGATTGTTGGCCTTAGGATCTTGCTCTCTCAGTTCAGAGCCATCCCAGCCAGCTTGCAACACTTCCAATGCTGCTCCTCCACCAGCCTCTTGGTCATCATGTCAGCCGGCTCCCCGTCGTCTTCACGTAGTGCAGCTCAACTTCACCCGCGGCCACCATGCTCCTCGTCCAGTGCCACTTCACCCTCATGTGCTTGGTGAGGCCGTGTAGCACAGGGTTCTTAGCTAGAGCAATGGCTCCCTGGCTGTCACAGTAGAGTGGGGTAGGTCCTTGCTGCTCCTCCCCCAATTCAGCCAACAAACGCCGCTGCCATACAATCTCCCGTACGGCACGGAAGAGTGCCATGTACTCGGACTCCACCGAGCTCAAAGCTTGATCCACCTGCTTCTTGCTCTCTCAAGCAGTTGGGCCTCCACCAACACAGCATATGAACCCTCCAACACTTGTCGTGTCCTCTGGTTCTGATGCATATGAAGCATCCGAGTAGGCGGTGAGGAACAAACGCCCGGGTTCAACACCATCCGCGCCCTTTTGGCGCCTTTGCGCCGCCGCCGAGTATTGCAGCCCAACAGTCGGTGATTGGCCAAGATACTTGGCCACCCTCATTCCAGCTGCTACCTGCTCCTCATTAGGGCATTGAACAACTCTTGCCAGCTGCCCGGTAGCAAATGCAACATCCGGTCGTGTGTTGACCGCCGCATACATGAGGCTGCCCACCAACGAGTGAAATCGGCGCCTCTCCTCTTCACCAACGCTCTCCTCCTCTGATCCCTTCACACACTTGAACCCAGAGGGAAAAGGAGTAGCCACATGGCCTTCACTCTGCCCAAAGTTGGCAGCCAAGGCCTCCAGGTACTTCCAGCGATCACGTTGGGGCTCTTGCGCCGTGTGGAAAACCCTTCGACCGTTTCCTAACTTCACAAAATGCTCAGTCTTCACCAGCGCCACCAATGCAGCATAGACTTCGGTTAGCTGACCGAAGTACTCCAACTGTGCAAACGAAACTGCACAGCCGACCAGTCTGTGGGGAAAAGATTTTGTACGTCAAATGCTCACAACCAAAACGAGTTACTCAAAGCTCGCAGTTCCGACCTTCTAGGAGTTGAAAACGCGGTGCGCGTTTAACGAACGACTAGGCAAACCGTCGATGGGAGAAAGCCGAACGGTTGGGTAGGCCGTCGCACTCAGCGTGGCGGACATATGGTGTCTCCACCCTACAGTTACAAAAAACGGACTTGCTGCTTCTAAACTGGTACGCGTTTCTGGTGCATCCCGTGTAAGAAATTAGGGGTTTCGCGGAATCACTTGCAAACCCAATAAACACATGATCTGCTTGAATTTCTCAACCATGGAGATACCTCAACAAATCCCAACCTGCGCCGATTCTCTTTTCACAAGGACCCACGCAGTTCAGTTTTACCTCTATGATATGATATAAGCCCAATTCAGTACTTTCATTATATTTTGTCTTAGTTGCATTTGATACAGCTGCTAATGGCTGTGGACAATCGCGTGTAGTTGCTCATTTATAAAGTGGCCCGAAAATGTGGAGACCACACCAAGCTACACCAGAAGCTCAAGCGCGCCATGAGACTCTCGCCATGGACGAGGACGGTGCCAGCGATGCAGGAACGAGTCAGTTCTGTGCTCGCACGCGACGTGAGCTCGATGCAGAAGACGAGCTGCATGAAGCAACAGCTACGCCAACACCTATGAACGACTCCAAGATACGGCATCACTAGATAAACACTTACAAGGTACCGTATTGCTTGCTGCCTGCTGTAAAAACCGGCAGGAAGAACTCGCTTCGCTTGAGCCGACGTGGCATAAGATGTCTTCGATAGACAACTTGGCTCTCGTGGTTTCGACCATTTAGTCGCGTGATATTGCTCGCACCAATTCTCTAATCGCAGCTCCCCTGACCCAACAGCAGAAGGAAACGGGAAATCCCCAGAAAGGAGTTCACGAACGTACAGAACTACATGTAGTAGGACTTGGGTTACAGCATTGGTACAAGCAAAGTAAGAGTACAACAACCTATCTACCACGAGAAAGTGTATTTTTATTTCTTTCCACCCTTCCCGCCCTTCCCACCCTTGCCCCCCTTCCCTCCTTTCCCACCCTTGCCGCCCTTTCCAGCCTTTCCGCCCTTTCCAGTGCTTGTTGTGCCCGCGGTCTGGCCCTGATCCTGCCTGCCTGCTCCCCCCTGCTCCCCGCCAGCCCCGCCCTGCTCTCCGCCAGCACCCCCTTGCTCTCCCCCAGGGCCTTCCTGCTCACCGCCAGGACCTCCCTGCTCACCGCCAGGGCCCCCCTGCTCTCCGCCAGGGCCCCCCTGCTCTCCGCCAGGGCCCCCCTGCTCTCCGCCAGGGCCCCCCTGCTCTCCGCCAGGGCCCCCCTGCTCTCCGCCAGGGCCCCCCTGCTCGCCACCAGGCCCGCCCTGCTCTCCGCCAGGCCCGCCCTGCTGGTTACCAGGCTTCCCTCCCTTTCCTCCCTTGCCCCCTTTCCCTCCCTTTCCGCCCTTCCCTCCCTTCCCACCCTTCCCTCCTTTGCCTCCCTTTCCGCCCTTTCCGCCGCCCACCCCAGGACCGCCGGGACCACCCACCCTAACGTCGCCGCCACTGCCTGTATCTCCTCCATTTCCGGTATCTCCGCCAATATCTCCGCCACTGCTGGTATCGCCATTTTCGATATCTCCACCAATGTCTCCGCCACTGCCCGTATCCCCGCCATTGCCGGTATCTCCGCCAGGGCCCCCCTGCGCTCCGCCAGGCCCGCCTTGCTGGTTACCAGGCTTCCCTCCCTTTCCCCCCTTGCCCCCTTTCCCTCCCTTTCCGCCCTTGCCTCCCTTCCCACCCTTCCCTCCCTTTCCGCCCTTGCCTCCCTTTCCGCCCTTGCCGCCCATCCCTGGACCGCCGGGACCGCCGGGACCAACGTCGCCGTCACTGCCCGTATCTCCCCCATTGTGGGTATCTCCGCCAATGTCGCCACCAATATCTCCGCCAATATCTCCGTCACTGCCGGTATCTCCGCCATTGCCGGTATCTCCGCCAGTGTCTCCGCCGAGGTCTCCGCCAATGTCCCCACCTATATCTCCGCCGCTTCCGGTATCTCCACCAAAATCTCCGCCAATATCCCCACCAATATCTCCGCCACTGTCAGTATCTCCGCCATTACCGGTATCTCCGCCAAAATCTCCGCCAATGTCCCCACCAATATCTCCGCCACTGCCGGTGTCTCCGCCAAAAACTCCGCCATCTCCGCCGACAGACGAGGTAGAGCGAAATAGAATGGGTGTTGAAAATGGATCCACCTTCTTCAAGAGAGAGAGGGCCCTAAGGGCCAGACTGCGCCGCGGAGAGAAGCTCCTTCCAAACGCTGCACGAATAGCAAAAGATGAAAGCGTCAGTTGAAATTCATGGTGATTCAGAGTTTTGGAATAAAAGGAAGAGAAGTGGAGAGAAGCTCCTTCCAAAAGCTGCGCGAATCGGAGAAAATGCGAGAGTATTCAATACGACTTTCTTAAAAGTCGTCTCTCAAGTTGAGACGACTTTTAGAGCTCTGGATGAGTATCAGAAACTAAGTCAGAACCGTGCAAGAAGAACAGGGCAAAAGGAAGAAAGTGAGAGGAAACGGAAGCGGTATGCGGTGGAAGGAATGTGAGGTGTTGGTGAAAAGCGGTTGATACGAGGATCGAGAACTTACCAGGTGCGAAACACTCTCGCGCCTCTCAAAACAAATTTGGTTTCTCAGAGGGAGGAAACTGAGGTGTTGGTGAAAAAAACTGGTGATACGAGGCGCGTAATCTTACCAGGCGCGACGGACTTTCGTGCTGGCCATATTATTTTATTCGCCATAGATACGAATCTGTTTTTTAAGGAAGGATAAAGAGGTGTCAAAAAGAGGGGATACGAGGTGCGGGATCTTACCAGGCGCGACGGAGGCTGACGCTACGAAAAGCGCGAGAAGAAGCAGCGGCAAGGACATGCCTCGCATCTTGTACCCCATTGTGGCGGCGAAAATTTGGCACTTGTCAAAGTGCTAGGAACTAACGGACAGAGTGGATGTCGCGAGGCGAAGGAAAGCGACTCCAAGGGAACAGGCAATCGCTGTCGAAGAGCTTCAATGAAGAATAATGAGCCGATGATTCCGCTATGCAAATGACGAGTGGTGTTTATAGGAGAGTGGTGAGAACGCGGCTTGCACACGATTTCCTTCGTGGGGTTTGGTTTGGGTTGGTTTGGAATGGACATTTGGCGGGGAATGTGTTTTTGCGCCAGGTACATTCCGTGAGTTTCGCTGTTCTCGTGTTCAACACAAGCCAGGGGGGAGGTGTGTTGCGACTATGGCATAACGAGCGTCGCGAGTGACAGTTCTCGTTCGCGAAGGGTTTGGCGAATTCGAATACAACCTGCGAGGGCAACCTGAATCACAAAATGCACCGCCGATAGTCACGGCACGCCACAAGGTCTGATCGCAGGGAGAACTCTACTGGTCGCGCCTGCTAAAACTGGTGGACTTGATCCCACCTGAGAGAGTCCAACTCGTTGATGGAAAATGCGGAAGATGCGGTAGCATGTGTCACAGAAAAGGGACTGAACTGTAGATGACGGGTATACATACAGTTTCGCTATCTTTGATTCGGCTACACTTTCACATTTTTGTATTTCAGATATTTGTACTGCAACTCTTTTGACAGATGGTGTCAACAACAAATGCGCGGTTCCCCGACTCACTTCATTTTGTTTGCCAGCGTAAATGTTTCGCTTAACCCTTTCGCGAAGATTTTTGGGCCCTTCGCAGCATTATCTTGCTTGCAGCTCCCTTCCCCATTTGACTCGCCCCCACCAACATGTTCTTCGCCAAGTTACAGACTTCGGGGTTGCTACTGGTGGTTGTTAGAATTTGCTTGGTGAAATCACTTGGTACTACTCACTCCTCGCTGTGTACTTCCAGTGGGAAAATTTCGAAGGACGTCGACACTAGCATGGTGCTCCTCGACACAACATAGCTACGAGAGCTTGGAAAAAGGACGAGTTCAACGGACGACTCTTTTTTAGACGATAAATTGACGTCTGAGATGTTTCTTGTCACGACAGATTGGTGACGGCGCAAGCATGAAACTGCGTGTCGACAGCGTCATAGCTACAAGAGTTCGGTAAAAGGCTACGATGACAGAAGTGACACTCGAGTTTGATGCTTGCGGAAATGCAAAAGGCAAATATATCCTTCGGTTGCGTCCATACTTCTGACGTTTGACACAGATACCACAGGTTACTACCCTGAGAGCTGCTTTTGCGTTCCCACACGAAGGATACGGAACGTACAAAATATATGGATTGGCTGCAATAATGGTACAAGAAGAATAGTACAATGGTACACCCTATATCTTGCGAAAACTTTTATTTCTTTCCACCCTTGCCACCCTTTCCACCCTTGCCCCCCTTCCCTCCTTTCCCACCCTTCCCACCCTTTCCAGCCTTTCCGCCCTTTCCGGTGCTCGTCGTGCCGGCGGTCTGGCTACCCTCCCCTCCCCCTGATCCCCCCTGCTCCCCGCCAGCCCCGCCCTGCTCTCCACCAGATCCCCCCTGCTGCCCGCCGGTTCCCCCCTGCTCCCTGCCGGATCCACCCTGATCTCCGCCAGCACCCCCCTGCTCTCCGCCAGGCCCGCCCTGCTGGTTACCAGGGTACCCTCCCTTTCCCCCCTTACCCCCTTTCCCACCCTTTCCGCCCTTTCCGCCACTTCCGCCAGCTCCGATAAGTGGCGCGCCGTCGCCGCCTTCCGAACCCCCATTGTCGCCGCCAGGGGGGCCGTCAGAACCGCCCTGACCGCCGCCGGCGTCTCCACCAGGGACCCCAGGTTCTCCGCCAGTCTCCCCGCCAGTCTCTCCGCCAGTCTCTCCGCTAGGTTCTCCGCCACTGTCTTCGCCGGTATCACCGCCAGTGTCTCCGCCAGTGGCTCCGAGATTGGCTAGTAGAACTTCGGGTGTCCTGAACGGAGTCTGCATGAGCGAGAGGCCCAGAATGCGACGTGGAGATAAAGTCCTTCCAAACGCTGCGCGAGTAGGAGAGAATGCGGGAGTGTTACTAAGGTGACATGTTGAATGAGGAAGAACGGCGAAAAGTGGAAGACAGAGCGAGGAAACAGAAGTGTAATTGGGGAGAAGAAATATAAGATGTTGGTGAAAAAGTGGTGATACGAGGTGTGGGAACTCACCAGGCGCGACGGAGGCTGACGCTACGAAAAGCGCAAGAAGCAGCAGCGGCAATGTTATGCCTCGCATCGTGTAACCCATTGTGAATTCGACGCTTGTCGAAGCACCACGAACTAACAAAAGGAGCGGATGACGCGAAGCGAAGTAGAGCGAGTTGAAGTGAGCAGGGAGTAACTGTTGAAGAGCTAGTACTATGGGGTGGGAACTGATGATAACGATGGTAGGAACGAGTGGTTTTGTAGGAGGGTGGTGAGAACGCGGTTCGCACTTGCACAACATTGTTTACACAGGAATTGTTTGGAACGCAGAGTTGGCGGGGAATGTGTTTTCGCGCCAGGTGAACTCCGTGAGCTTCGCTGTTTCATGTTTCAGAGGCCAGGGAGTTGCGACGGTGGAGTGGCGAGCGTCGCGACGCTGGTTACTGTAAAGATGAGCCTGGCGAATTCGATTTCTTGCAATTTCCCAACCTGCGAGGGCAAAGTGGATCACGCCACAATTCACGATTCACAACATGCTCGACCGATGGTCACGACGCGCTGCAAGTTCATTGCAGGTGGAAACTCCATTGGTCGCGCTAGTTGAAACCGGTTGACCTGATCCCACCTGGGATGGGCGAGTCTCGTTCGTCGATGGAAAATGCGGATGATGCGGTAGCAAATGCTGCGGAAAAGAGCAACACGCCACTGTACCATAATTCTTGCATTCGTCTACACTTCGTATGAGCTTGCTGCAATGCAAACTGTTTTTTGACAACAATGCGAGGTTCAGCGACGCACTTTGATTCGCTAGCATAGTAGTTCCACGTAACCATTTCGCCCACCTTCCTCTGCCTTTCGCAGCTGGATTCTGCTCTCAGCTCACATCCCCATACTCCTCACCAAAACTTCGTGTTGAGTTGCCAAAGCTCCCCATATTACTCTTTCCCTTCTCTTCCTCTCCTCTCCTTCCCTTCTCTTCTTACAACTGTCAAGTTATATACATATGTTATATATAGTTTGTCTAGGCTTTATGGGGGTTAGCAGTAGGGGGTACACAATTTCTCTCGACATTCTTCTTGTACCCCAACCTTTGACCTAATCCAACAGACCTTTTCTCCTCCTAAGTTCTAAGATGGTATCTAGAGCCTAGAGGTCCTTAGGACCTACGATTAGGGCCCATCTAACATTACCTGCCTTGCCTGCTGCCCGCGCGCACCTCGGCTACACGCGCGCGGCTCCTTTTTTTTTTCCCGCGCGCGCCACTCAAGCAGCCCGCGCGCAGCCCATGTAGGCCCGTTTAGGCCTGTTTCGGCCCCGCGCGTCACGTCAGCCACCCGCGCAGCCTGCCGCCGGCCCGCGCGCCGCGTACGCCGCCCGCGCGCAGCCCGCTTAGGCCCTGCGCGCCGCGTCCGCCACCCGCGTAGCCCTTTTTTTTTTTTTCGGTCCCGCGCGCCACCTCAGCCGCCCACGCAGCCTGCCGCCGGCCCCGCGCGCTGCCCTGCACCAGCTACGATGCCCCTGGAGCAGCCGCCCCTGGACCCTGAGCGGCCGCCCCTGGCCCCTGAAGCAGGCGCCCCTGGTGCCTGAACCAGCCGCCCCTGGTGCAGCCGCCCCTGGTGCAGCCGCCCCTGGACCCTCGAGCAGCTGCCCCTGGACCCAGAGCAGCCGCCCCTGGCCCCTGCAGCAGCCGCCCCTGGTGCAGCCGCCCCTGGACCCTCAAGCGGCCGTCCCTGGACCCAGAGCAGCCGCCCCTGGCCCCTGCAGCAGCCGCCCCTGGTGCAGCCGCTCCTGGACCCTCGAGCAGCCGCCCCTGGACCCAGAGCAGCCGCCCCTGGCCCCTGCAGCAGCCGCCCCTGGTGCAGCCGCCCCTGGATCCTCAAGCGGCCGTCCCTGGACCCAGAGCAGCCGCCCCTGGCTCCTAAAGCAGCCGCCCTTGGTGCAGCCGCCCCTGCACCCTCGAGCAGCTGCCCCTCGACCCAGAGCAGCCGCCCCTGGCCCCTGCAGCAGCTGCCCCTGGTGCAGCCGCCCCTGGACCCAGAGCAGCCGCCCCTGGCTCCTACAACAGCCGCCCCTGGTGCAGCCGCCCCTGGACCCCGTGACGCCGCCCCTGGACCCCGTGCAGCCGCCCGCCGAGCGCCGGCCCTGCTCGTCCGGCGAGCGCCGGCCCTTCCCACCACTAGTGAGCACCTGCCTTGTTCACGCACTGCCGCGCCCTCAGCCTGCCTGCCTGTCTACCTGCCTGCCTGCCCGCCTGCCTGCCTGCCTGCCTGCCTGCCTGCCTGCCTGCCTGCCTGCCTACCTGCCTGCCTGCCTGCCTGGCGCACCTGCCGCACTTGCCGCACCTGCCCTGCCCGTGCTGCTGCTGCTGCTACTACTGCTACTGCTGCTACTGGCGGTGGCCAGATGCAGCTCCAGCGACGTCCATGTGAGTCCCTCACGCCCCAGCAGCTTTGTGAGTGGTACGCTGGTTGGGGTTGTAGGGGTGGCCGCGCTACTACTGCTGCTACTGCTGCTACTGCTGTTGCTGCTGCTACTGCTGTTACTGCTGCTACTGCTGCTAATCCTGCTACTGCTGCTACTGGCGGTGGCCAGATGCAGCTCCAGCGACGTCCGCGCGAGTCTCTCACGCCCCAGCAGCTTCATGAGTGGTACGCTCAGAGTAGAGGGTCTCTGAGTACCGTTCGCTGCCCGTACATCATTCGCACAGGTGTTCGGACTGGTCAGGCTTGCGGGACACTTAGTCACACACAGTCCCGCTGCTTTGCCCGCCTGAGCGACGCTTGGCGTACCGAGTTTGGCGACGAGGCTGAGCTCCCCACCTGGCTGGAGCTACTTGGACAGGGGGTAGATGTCTTTGCTCTTGACTATGATGCTATTCTCACTACCATGTATGCATTGCCTACTAGTGCTGACCGAGCCTGTTACCTGTGCGTACCGCCTGACCCAGGTATAGAGTCTGCTGCTCTAGGTGCTGGTGAGGCTGTTGCTCTAGGTGCTGGTGAGGCTGCTGCTCCAGGTGCTGGTGAGTCTGCTCTCTCTGGTATTGCGCCTGCTGAGGCCTTGTACACCTTCACACTTGACTCCGGTGCCTCTCGCTCCTTCTTTCGCGACAGCACCACCCTTACGCCGCTCAGTCGGCCGGTTGCAGTCTCCCTGGCAGACCCCTCTGGGGGTCCAGTCCGTGCGACCTCCACCACTGTCCTCCCTTGTCCTGCTGTCCCGTCAGGCACACTGTCGGGTCTTTACCTCCCCTCGTTCTCTACGAACTTGGTGGCGGGTTCTGCGCTCCAGGACGCGGGTGTTCACCAGTTCACCCCTGCCTACGAGCGTGTGACACACTGCACGTGTGCTCAGACGGGTCGTCACCTGGCTACCTTCACTCGGCAGCCGGGGTCGGGCCTGTACACACTGACCACTGAGTCCCTTCAAGTAGCTGCGTCTGCGTCTGCGTCAGGTCAGTTGTCGGCCCCCTGCTCGTGTCGCGCCATGTCGCACCAGACCCTCCTTTGGCACCACCGCCTTGGTCACCCCTCGGTGCAGCGCCTTCGCAGCATGCATCGCCGTGTCCTTGTCTTCGGTCTTCCCCGGGTTCTCCCTCCCCTCCCACCCTCGCCTGCTCCTCCCTGTCTTCCCTGTGTCGAGGGGCGGCAGCGCGCCGCTCCTCACTCCTCCTCGTTCCCTCCCACAGAGGCTCCCCTGCAGACTCTCCACCTGGACGTGTGGGGCCCAGCCCGCGTCCGTGGACAGGGCCACGAGCGGTACTTCCTGCTGGTCGTCGACGACTACACGCGTTACACCACGGTCTTCCCCTTGCGCACCAAGGGTGAGGTCCCTGATGTTTTGATCCCTTGGATCCGCGCTGCTCGTCTCCAGCTCTGCGAGCGGTTCGGGATGGAGTTTCCCGTCCTGCGTCTGCACTCTGACAGAGGTGGGGAGTTTTCCTCCGACCTCTTGGCGGCCTTCTGTGCGGAGCACGGCATCCGCCAGACGTTCACGCTTCCAGCCTCTCCGCAGCAGAATGGGGTTGCTGAGCGCCGTATTGGCTTAGTCATGGAGGTCGCTCGCACCTCCATGATCCATGCGGCTGCCCCCCATTTTCTGTGGCCGTTTGCGGTCCGGTATGCCGCGCATCAGCTCAACCTCTGGCCCCATGTCTCCTTGCCGGAGACCTCGCCCACGCTGCTGTGGACGGGGAAGGTTGGCGATGCGTCGCGTTTCCGGGTCTGGGGTGCTCGTGCCTTTGTCCGCGATGCCACCGCGGACAAGCTCTCCGCCCGCGCTGTTCCTTGTGTCTTCCTTGGCTTTGTCCCTGACGCGCCTGGTTGGCAGTTTTGCCACCCCACCTCGCGCCGTGTCTTCCCCTCTCAGGACGTCATGTTCGACGAGTCGGTTCCCTTTTACCGTCTCTTCCCCTACCGCACTGCGCCTCTCCCCCCCCCGCCGCTCTTCCTCGCTCCAGGTGCTACCCAGGTAGACCCCCTCCCCGCTCCCGGTCCTGCTCCTTCAGGTGTGTCTCAGGTAGACCCTCCTCCCTTGACTGCGCCGGTTGAGGTCACTGGTGACTCAGGTCCTGCTCGGGGTGCTGCTTCTGGGGGTGCTGAGCCTTGGGGTGCTGAGCATGGGGGTGCGGAGCCTGGGGGTGCTGAGCCTGGGGGTGCTGAGCCTGGGGGTGTGGAGCCTGGAGGTGCGGAGCCTGGGGGTGCGGGGACTGGAGGTGTTGAGCCTGGGTGTGAGGAGTCTGGGGGTGCTGAGCCTGGGGGTACTGAGTCTGGGGGTGCTGCACTTGGGGGCGCTGAGGCGTCTGGTGAGCAGTCT